TGTTCTCCTCCCGGTCCTTCTATCAATTGTAGGCGGCGGCGGCTACGTTGACCCGGAGAGTGATGGCGGGCTTGAACAGGACCTTAGGCGCCGCCAGTATCCTGCGCTACTCGCTGAGGACGACGAGTATGATAGCGATGACTAGGAGAATCATGGTTTCTTCGGGAAGCATTGGTGTAGCATGTTTTAAAGATGTGGGTCTGGGATAATTGAGGTTTGGGCTGCATGGATGGCGTTTTCCGGTGGGTTTGGCTTTGCCCGGTGAGGGTGGGTGGGTGGTTGGGGAATGAAGCTGAGGGATGCAATTGAGAAGAGGAAGGGGGATGGATGTAGTTTGTCGCTCCGTCTTCCGGCTCTTGTATGTAGGCTGGTACGATTACGCTATGGGATTAATTTGATCATATATTGTGCAAATGTAAGACTTTCATGTTCTCGTTTCAACGTGGATACCAATCTGCCCCGTTTGTAGCTACCCTACATCACCCCCTGATGCGTGCTTGTGCGCTTGTTGAAGCATACGTTGTCTAGCTACTATTGTAGTTCCTGTCCCCGTAGTGGATTTCCCTGTTTCATACCTTTTTGTTAAACGCATCGCTAATAGATACTTTGACGTAGACAGGCTGTGTTTTCCCCCCGGGATTATACGTCAACCGCGGGATATGTACCAGAGTCTAGTAGCTACGTCGTGCGATTCCAAATAGAATGTAAGAGTAAACGCTGCTCGTCGGCGTCTAGCTTACATCTTCTTTAGGTCCAGGGTGAACATGTTTAGATAAATAGAGTAGTAGCTAATAAGAACAAGATGTTAGTTCTAGTTCGCATTGCTGAATGTCCTAGACCCTAGCGAATACACATGCCATTCACAATCTCAAACACAAGGTAAAACGCTACAACGTTGCCGTTGCCGTCTAGCTTCTATCTCGTCCACGTACGTGAAGTGCGTAGCTATACCTCTGAATGGTAGTTACGCTACAGCCGGACGGATACATATGCGATACCACCTTTCTGTGCATGCCTAACACGACGATGTTACCGTCTAGCTTATATACGGACTGGTGCGGTGGAGTTACGCGTGGCGGATACATTGTATGATTCCGCGAGTTTTATGCACGAAATGCGACAAGGTCGCTGTCTGGCGAGTGTATGTGTGTATTTGGGGAGTTGTGGCGTGGCGGATGCGTTGGGTGGTTTTATGCAGTGTGTATGGCAAACACTACGATGTCGTTATAGAGGTTATGTATGTGTATATTCAGTAAGGTGTACTGTGGCGGATACGTTGTATGATTCCACGTCGTATGAGTACCAAATACTGCAACGTCGCCGTCTAGCCTATGTGTGGATGTATCCGGTAAGGTGTGGCGTGGCGGATACATCGTATTAGTTCGCTTGATATACCTACCAAACGCTGCAACGTCGTCGCCAGGCTCACATCCTGTCCACATATTCAAACTACACCCCAATGACTACATGCACATCAACCTCTTCAAATTTACATCAAACACAGCAACGTAGCCGGCAGACTCATATATTATCCACTACCAAACCCCCATATTCCATCACTGCATAGGGCAGAACCCCAAGCAAGTAGTAACGAGAGCCTCCGAACAGCTACACTCAGTATCCACATCACATAGATAACAACAGCCGTCAGGGTCGCAGCCTACATACCATCTCTTTGCATTCGGATCACGTGCACGCGCCGGTACGTGAGGAACCACCAGATTAGCCGGGCGCTGGGACGACAATGGTGGCAAAAGAGTGATTTGGTGCGCCGCAGGAACGGGCTGTGCTGTGCGATTCGAAGGAGTGGGCGGTGCTGTTGGCGCTAGCGAAGGTAAGGGTGAAGGTACTTCCTCAGTTTCCCTCAACTCTTCACTCCCAGAACGCCTCAAACTTTCTGCATACAGACGACTACCATCCTCGTTCATGAGCTCGGTGAACCTCGAATCACCAGACTTGCGGCCTTCAGTGCGATCTGGGGGCGCGAGCGATGAGGCTGAGGACTCATGTAGGCTCCTGGGACGCTCATTCGGATCGAGAAGTGTATGGGATGAGCCATTGTGGGCGCCTAGCTGATCTTCTGAGTCAGCTCCACCACGCATGAATATCATGTCGTCTCGAGAGGGCTCTGTTTGGACGTAGTGAGAGTATTGAGGAACGATGCCTCTGTGGCTGAAATACGCTCGTGCAGTTTCTGATGCTGGCAGGCGACCTGGTGTGACTATCCATGCGCGACTTTGACCGTCTCGGGTTCTCGCTATGGTAGACAGCGTAGGGTTTCGTGGGGGAAGGCCATCTCCAAAGTGAAGGTCGTCGGACTCGCTCTCGGAACCGCTGCAGATGTCATAATCGATTGAGCCTGACTGGCTCATCGGGCCTTCGACTTCAACAACTTCAGCATATCTCCGTTGGTCCCTCAATACCACAGCCGACGCTGAAGATAGAAGGCGAAGCTGTTGCAGTGTTGATCTGAGTCGTGAAACCACGGGGGGAACAACTGGAGCCGCAGGCGAATGTTCAACGAGCGTTGTTTGACCACTGTTCAATTGCGATGGGCTAACATATGCTCCTTGCGGGTGCGATGGGTTCACACATGCTCCCGGTGTATGCGGGGTGGCTGACGACGAGAGAGCTTCGACGACAGTTGCTGGACCACTTGCGACTTGCGATGAATTGTCTAAGGATGCTACGAAGTGTGGGGTTGGCGCGAAGCCAGGCGGAGACGTTGCTGCACGTGTTGCTGACAGCTAATCAGTAATCGAGCTGGGAGGCGACATCGAGCTGAGAGGCGACGGGCGATATGCGGTATTGTAGGCGTTGTTATACTGCACATCCTTCCAGTCTGGCAGAGCCGCAAATTCTGCGTCAGACATGAAGGCGGGATGCGAGCCTGTCCGCTTGTGAGTGAGTTCGACCGGACGCTTCAGCCACAGGCTTTCGACATGCTGTCTCCGATGGCGCTCCTGTAATCGAGTCACCCAGCTTTGCGCTTCTTCCTGCTCTTCCTCTTCTTGCTCTTCCTACGAGCCGACCTCGTCAGCCCAGCTGCGTCCCTTCTCCATGGGCGATGGCAGGCCGAAATCGTCTGTGTCCTTCACCTTCTCCTTCAATTTCTCCTCTGCAGGTGCCTTGCCCTTGGCAGAGGGTAGTTCTGGGAAGTCTGACGCCGAGGGCGGGACGTTGTCGCGCTTTTCCCGAGTGTTTGCCGGCCTCTCGTCGGATCCTCGGTAGTCGCCACGGCCACCTCTGCTGCCACGGCCTCTGCCTCTGCCTCTTCCGCGGCTAGACTGTCCGGCAGGCTCATGATAATCTTCGCTTCCGTTGTAACCGTTGTCGACCGGTCTCGAGGGTGCGATGCCACCGTGCGCGCCACGTGCAGCGCCTCGTCGCTTCTCGTCTCCAGTGCCAGAGAAGCCATCTTCTTTCTCAAAGTCCCACTCCCTGCCCCCTTGCGCATTGAGCTTGCGCTGGCGGTTCTTCTCGCGTTCGCCCATCATCTGTTGGCGACTCTGGCGCTCTGCCTTCTGCTTCTCTGCGAGAGCCTTCTTTCGCTCTATATCCTGCTTCTGCATGACGGCTTCGCGTGCCTCGAAATTGCCCTTGTCGGCCTCGGCGCGAGCATGGGCGCTCTGACGGGCTTCGTTCTTAATGCGCATGTTGGCTAGCTTCGTGTTCAGCTCCTCTTCTGTCAGGCGCGTGCGTGCAGGGCCGCCAGTCAAGCCTCTGTCTCCGCGGACGGCGTGTGTGGTCTTCTCCTTGGGCTCGGTGGGTGCAGAGGGAGGGGCTGAGTTGTCTGCGACATCGGCAGTGGCAGCCGCGGTCGGCGCAGCTTCCTTCGGTGCCTCTGGAGCCTTCTTGCCGTTTTCTTCTAGTCGAATGTCGGTGTTGTGCCCGCCGCGACCTCGTCCACGGCCCCTTCCTCGACCTCGGCCGCGACCTCCTCTATCGGCGTTTCTTGGCTCACGAGGCGCATGCGGTGCGAGGTGTGCCTGCGGTGCGGTCGGCGGTTGTACTTCCTCGGGAACGAACTCGGGGGCGGAAGCTTGCAGCTCGATGGGGTTCTGCTCGACGACTGGCTCGGCGATAGGCGTGATGTCGTCGTCGAAGAAAAGGTCGTCTGTGCTTGCCGTCTGAGCGAATGGATCTATTGACGGGTCGTCGAAGGCGGGGTCGTAGGACGTGTTGTCGATCTGGCGGGGGTTAGTCTTGTATATCAAGTAGATACCTACTTCAACAGTAGAGGAGAGAGGTCAGGGGTAAAGAGTGCATAAGTCAACATACCTGTGCTGGCGCTGGTTCTGGTTGAGCGACGGTGACCTCGGGCGCTTGTTGTTCCGCCTCGCCAGGCTGGGTAGCCCATTTTGACTTGAGCATGATGACTAATAACGAGTAGTGCTAGAAATAGTATCTAGAACGAAGTATGGAGTTGGACGTTATTTAGCGATGTTGGGTAGCGATGTGAGGAGTCTTTGGTCGTTGCGGCTGGCCGAATTACTTGCAGGAACCCTGGCACCCAAGTCCGTGCGGCAACAGCTCCCCGCACCTGCAGTCTAGACCCGATGGGTCCTTCCCCCACGTCCATGGTTCTGTGACAGCTACTCCAAAGCGTACTCGCTGCTTCTTACATGATTCTCTGTGCACGCAAATCAAAGGCAATGACCCCTCGAAACCTATGTGCACAGCCCATACACGGCAGCATTGAACAGGTGTCTTGCAGCCTACATCAAGCCCATGAGCAACAAACTGCTAGATACGAAGGCAATGTAGACTCCAGGCATTATTATTATTCTGCTAATCTTGCTACCACTAAAGTAAACCACAGCATGAAAATCCCCAGCTCCGTGACACATCCCCCCACCCATGAACGCCGTCGCTAAGTCGTAGATATAATATACAAGGCCATCCAGCCAGTAAAATTACAAACGCATTAAAAGATAACAAAACTCCGCACAACAGCTACTCTGGTTCTCCGCACGAACCAGGAAGCACATCAGAAACCCTCACGACAGAAGCAACATACGGGTACACCGGGACACCCGAACCATGCGTATACCCATCTTGCCCATCCCCCAAGGCAAGCCCTCCTGCGCAGGCCAAACCTGTCCTCCCTCAGACTCAGACTTTGAACAAAACGTCAAAGCCACGACTCCCTTCCCAGGCTCAAGCGGCGAAGCCTCGCGACTCTGCTGCCGCGAAGAACCCGGTGAGAGTTCAGGTGGATCCGTTGGTTGGTCTTCAAGCCAACCGAGTACCTTTTGGCTCACGGTTTCCGTGAGCGGGTTGCCGACGTTGTCGAAATCCTGGCCGTTGAAGGTGTACTTGAGGATACCGGGGTCTGCGAACGAGGGGGCGTGGGAAGGGCGTTTCGGGGCGGCGAGACGCATTTCATGCTCGATGTCCTCTACAGTCCGAGATGTAACGGGCTTCTTTGTTGATGTGGCACCGGAGATGGGGGACTTGTAACCCGTGGAGATGGGAGCGCTGATCTTGGAGATGCCTTGAGCTTTGACTTTCGCGAACATCTCGTCGAGGGCTGATGGGATTGTCAAATCAGCTTCAGTCAAGCCAGTCTTGATCGGCGTGATGTGGAAGCCGTTGTCATCGAAACACTTGCGAACTGGCTTGCCAATCAAGGCCATTGCCCACTCCAAGTCATGCACCGGCTCCTCCCGATGGAACTCGGCGTCAACAGAAACCCTGTACTTGCAGCGAAGCAGCCTCTGGCGCGGCGTCTCCATGCTCTCGTACAGCGCTGCTTCCAAGGCCTTGTTAAGGGCGACAACGCCGTATGCCTTTTCATACGCTTTTGCGTTTTCGGTAGGCCATCCTGGGGCGGTGTCTTCTTTTGTGAGGGTGATGGAGACGGGTGGAGTTTGGGCGACTATGATCTTTCCGAAGAGGAATGCTGGGGCGGTTGGGTTCAGCATGCTGGTTTGTGAGGTGTTGGGTTTTGGAGGGGAAGGAGCAGTCTTGAGTAGGCTGACTTGTGGAAAGTTGAGTTTTGGAGGAGAGGGAGCGGTCTTGGGATAAGATGTACTATTCAACTCTTGTTCGAGTTTGGTTTGGTTGCTGGCTACCTTGGTTGGAGAGTTGTTCTTGGAGCCAGTAGGGGCGTCTTCGAATACAACGACGGGCAAATGTGTGCAGAGGTGCGGTTGCGGCGTGGCGGTCTTGGTACCAGTTGTAGTGTGCGCTCCAGAAAGAGCCCCGATGTTGGCGAGGACCGTCTCATCAGTGGCCGAGTCGTGTCGATAAAGATCGGACGACTCCACGATAACCTGCGCAGAAGTCTTTACCATGGGCGCCGGTCCTGCATTTCCAATAACGTCTCCTTCTACAGGTGCAGTCTTGTTGATAACGATGGTAGCGACCGGCGCGTACGAAGCCTTGTTCGCGGTAGACTTCCCGGCGGCGGCGATGCGCTTTGCCAGCGCCTTCTCTTTCTGCGCCTTCTTGTGATTCTTTAGACCCTTATTCTTTTTGAAAATGACGTCGCCGGAAGCGTCCACGGGAGGAGCCATATTTGCGGTTCGCGGTGAGAGTGTGACTAAGTGCTGTCAGGGGGTGATTCGCATCATCGGCGCAAGTTCTGACTTACATATATTGATGACAGTAGTATAAGCGAGAATACGGTACAGCGATCAAGACCAGAGCGATGACTTCGGTTCAAGAGAACTGGGTATACGCAATAAAGCGGGCGATCATACAAGGGAGTCGAACGAATGTGGCGAGCCTTGACCAGTGCTTTCGGGCTGCGGGCGATGGTGTTGCACGGGTAAGATCACCTGGAGTGGAGCGCAAGCAGGTTGAGCGTACGCTGGGCGCGGTAAGGTATCGACTACTATGAGTGTCGCGCGCCATATTAGACACTAGTACCGTGAGAGTGGAAGTGATGTAATAGTGTGAACAATGGCGTCCGTGCGTTGAGACAAAGTATGAGTGAAAGGAATGACAGTGTGACTGAACATGCATTGTTTGACAATCACATTGTTCAGGACGTCTTGGACATCACGCGGAGTTGGCAAAGCTTGAGGATGTAGAAGGAGAAAGATGATGTCGTGAGACAGATGTGGTATACAGTATCTGTTCGAGCCCTCCTTGGTGGCATGGGCATATGCGTGATCGCAATACTTTCCGAGGTGAGCACCTGGAGTGGTGTCAGTCATGTCCTACCAATACTTTAAGTTATCACGAACCTTTGCCCATGAACTCCGGACTGTTCAAAGCGTTTGCGACCTCACGATAGAGTGGCAGCTGCTTAATATCGAGCGCATCGGCATGAGTTTCGCGCTCTTGTTAGCAGACTAACCAGCCATGCTAGCGTTTCTCTTGGAACCTATCGATGAAAACCAGGAGCAAGGAAGCTTAGTTCGCCTCGAAGGAGAATAACAGATGTAACCGCTGCTGATCGATAGGGAATCTGCGCCCTCGTGGAAAAGGACGGATGATACCAACCTCTGCTATTGAGTGAAGACGTGAGGAAGAGCGGATATGAATGCATCGAGATTACCTGATGTAGTATGACGCAGATGATTTCATAATAAGGTAGCCCAAACCAAGACATCGCGCGGATACAGGAGCGATCTCTACATAGGTGTTGTGAAATTTCCTGCGGTACGGGAGTGGCGCGGAACGTGATGCAGATGGGACATGATTGCCAGCGCTGAGCCGTGTCAGAGCATGAAGATGAAACGGCAAGCAGTCACAACGAAGAGAGGTGGACGTGCGCGAAATGTAGACCGCGATGTGTGTGGGTGCGCGTTGAAGTGTTGTTATGATGCGTGCTTGCCCAGGTGGAGAACCGCGCATAACGCGATCGTGCACGGTGCCGGTACTAGCCTCTTGGCAGTGCTCCAAAGACACCTCGCAGCGGCAGGTACACAGACTCTATCTTTCCTACTTCCCACATCCGCGTCTGCATCTGTCGGCCTTCACACCGCCACTGTCGAACATTCTATTGCGACATTGAACGGCATCATGGATAAGTTACCACAGGAGCTCATCAACAAAATTGTCTTGTGTCTAGAGCGCTATCCCGGTCAGTCACAGGCCCCGATAATTGAACAGCAGGGGGACCAGTCTAAGCTCCCACCATATGCGACAATTTCTAGCCGCTGGAGAGAGGCTGTGGAATACGTCACTTTCCATCGTTTGTCTATCAAGAGCCATGAGCTGAGTCAGCTCGAGGCCATGGTGACTGGCAATCGTCCCCAATACCTAAAGAGACTCTCTTTCGAGATTACACTACCAGAGTACTCAGAAGAGAGCTGTGGACGTGTTGAGTCGATAGAAGAACAACAATGCAATGACGAAGCCTTCACCCAAGCCATCGCAGACTTGTTTTCCTTAGTGAGAAAGTGGGAAGATGCAGATTTAGTACGTGGTTTACGACTACAGCTACACGGCGCATATTCCCCGACCGATCATCGTGACTGGAACCAGATCACGCTTGAAATGGCACAACACAAGCGTGGGATAGACATTTTCGAAAAACGATGGGTAAACTCCTACATCCATCTCTCCAGACCGGAAAGAATACCCACGCTCTTGAGCATCGTATATCTCCGCATTACGGGCCACATTTCCCGAAAGCTGGCCCCTGTAGTCGGACCTGGTCTAGCTGCATGTCTACCCAACCTACGGAGTTTCTACTGGGAGTTTGGAGAGGTAGACGACACGTCCATCAACGTGGAAAGCAGAGCCTTATTCGCGAGGATGCTCAACCAGACTAAGCTTGACAAGTGCTCTGCGGCTGAGATTACCTTCAATCAAGACCCTGCGGCGGACCAACGCGTGGCAGAACCTTCGCGCATACCAATAGGCGCACTCTACGATCCGTTCAGCGTATCTCTGCGTAGCTTTTCGCAGAACCTGACTTCCCTTGTTCTGAACGGCTTTGTCGACTCGACTATTTTCTGGCCTTCAAGCCTTGAGAAAAGCTCTGTGCTCAGCTGGCCGGCCCTCAGGAAGCTGACAATCTTCTTCAACATGGCCGCCCCGTCTGGGGAGTGGTACTTTGACGGAACACCACCAGGTGAGATTGAGGAGCAGTGGGGCGGCAATATCGTGCAATTCCGCGACCGTGAAGACGCAAAGACCTTAGATCCGTTGATCGCGGCTTTCGCAAAGGCGGTCCAACAGATGCCGGCCCTAGAACATTTTCTGCTCGAAACGGAGCTTGGCCACGACATAGGCTACTGGGAGATATCGTACTATGCGCCTGGAATTGAAGAAGATGGGCACGATAATGAAGATGATGCTAGCGTGCGGCGGCTCTACTATTCCGTCGGGGAAGTATGGAGGCCAGATGACTTCATGGCAGAAGCTTTTCGACGTATCGGACGGGATCGACATGGGCCGGAGCTGATTGAAAGGTTTTATGAGCTGGGTAGCAGGACTTGGCCGCTTGATTCTCCGTGGAGCTGGTTATGACCTACGTAACCGACCTATCTGCGCTTTTGAAAATGACCAGGCAGTCTTGACAACTTTTGCCGAGCTATTATTCGATTGCGACTACCTAGTGCTCTGGCCAGCTAAAACAGCACGTGCGGCGACAAGCCTTTAGGACGCTAAACTTCATTGCGACATGACCGCGCTTACTAAGCAGTCCGAGGACTTTCCACGATCCATGCATACCTTCATCTTACTGACCCACCCCGCTGTATCGACCTTCCAAAATGCCGGATATATCAGCCAACGATGGTATTCATCTGCACTACGAGACATATGGCTCTTCCGGTGCCGCTCCCTTGATCTTGGTGAGCTCCCCGCCATCGAGTGCGTACCGCCACCAGGCCTGACACAGGTCGCTAGCTGCACGGCTTCACGGGTTCAGGCGCAGTCTTCAAGCGCAATGTTGCCGCGCTCGCAAAAGCTCATCATGTTATCATTCCCGACCTGCGCGGCCACGGCGACTCCGGTAAACCAAAAGCCGGCTACAACGTGGCACGCTTAGCAATGGATCTCAAGAACTTGATCGAGTTTTTCGGTTTCCGCGACGGTACCATCAAAGCAATAGGCACGAGCCTAGGTGCAGCAATCTTATGGAGCTACAGCGAGTTGTTCACGACTGGCGCATTCTCACACATGGTTTTCGTGGACCAAGCTCCACTGCAGAATTATCTTGAGGATTGGGGTCCTGAGTTCGGAAACCTAGGATGCAACAATCTAGAAGCACTGAACGCGATGCAAAAGACTCTGATTGCCAACCCGAAGGGAGCGCACCTCGGTACTATTGCAGCGTGCTTGGGCTACAGATCTCATCCGCGACCCCGAGACCCTCAGTCGGATTCGGCACAGTGGGAAGATGACGAAGCGTTCTTCCTGGCTGAAGCACTGAAAGGCGATGGATGGTGGTATGGAAAGCTAATGGCTGACCATACGGCGAACGACTGGCGGCATCCTATCGCTCATGCTTTCGGACCAGAGAGCGGTAGTGAAACCAAGGTGCTGGTAGTAGCAAGTAGCCGAAGTGGCTGCTTTCCGGCTGCGGGAGCGCTCAAGGTGGTGGAACTGGTGAATGGAGGCGAAAAGGAAGGACTCGCGAAGGGAGTGACGGTGGACTGGGGTGGTCATTGGTGTTATTGGGAGAAGCCGGAGATGTTCAATGCGCTTGTCATTGACTTCTTCTCGTGAGCGCAATGTATGCCGTATTGACTTGATGCTGCTGCGAAAGAGTAGTTCGTATTATTATTCATCTCAATGTTCATACCAAGAGGTAATCCATCATCGTCGAAAGAACGGGAGGGGTAAAGCTTCCACGCAACGAATTCTTCCGCGGACGCGTCAAACCCTGCAGAGCGCCGCTAGTGAGTGGCATATAAGCAAAAAGCTGGCAGAAACATACCACAGTGGGGGTGTTCAAGCAGTCATCCACAGAGCCACTTCTAAACCGCCTGCATCCTGCTTGTATATTGCTGAGCGGCCGTAAAAGACCACTATGTGGGGTTCCCCAGGCTAAAGATGCGGCTCCCGGAGGCTCTGGGGCTAGCGCATCTGAGTTGTGTCTCGTAGCGAGCAGGTCTGCCTCGAGACGAGCATGACTCGCCTCGATCCCCGCAACGCTGTCACGTATATATGCTCAGTTGGCCGCATCTTCATCGCATCATCATCGCCCAGCTCTTTCTTGTGCAAGCAATATATCCTCTGCTTCTTCTTCGCATTGCATAGCTCTCAGCCCGAGATCGTGAGCCCCAGAATCGAAGTCCTGATCACCGCAAACCTAATCCAAGAGTTCTGAAGAGCAAACCACCAAGAATGTCGAACAACATCCTCATCACCGGCGGCGCCGGCTTCCTAGGCCCTATGCTCGCCGCCAAGTTGGCAAAAGATTCCTCAAACAACATCGTCCTAACCGACCTTCGCACACCCCAACGGCCAGCCGGCATCTCAGACTCGGCATCCAACCTAGAGCTTACAGCTGGAGACCTCACCTCCCAATCAGACATCGACAAACTCCTTTCCATGCGCCCACAATGGTCAGCAATCTTCCTTTTCCACGGCATCATGTCCGTCGGCTGCGAAGAAAACCCCGCGCTTTCCACCAAGGTCAACCTAGACGCCACGCTTTCTGTTCTTACATCCATTTCAAAACTCAAACAATCTACCAAACCCCGCATTGTATATGCTTCAACTCAGGCTGTTTACGGACCGCCTTATACGGCGACAGGCCCCATCACAGATGATACCCCTGCGACACCGATAGGCGTTTACGGCACACACAAGGCCATCATGGAGAAGCATATCGATGACCTTAACCGCCGTGGCCTAATCGATGCCTTCTCCGTGCGCCTACCGACTGTCGTCGTCCGGCCAGGCGCGCCTTCGCGATCAGCAGCAGCATTCCTAAGCGGCCTACTCCGCGAGCCACTAGCCGGACTCGAATGCATCGTCCCCATTAGCGACCGATCAGCACGCCAGATGATTTGCTCACCACGCGTCATGATCGAGAACTTTGTGCGCGTTATGAAGGCACCCTCGGATGCTATGCCGGCGCACATCCGCGCGGTGTACATGCCAGGTATCAGTGTCACGCTTGGTGACATGTACGCGGCGTTCGAGGCGGTCATTGGAAAGGAGAAGCTGAGTCTGTTGCGGGAGGAGGTGGATGAGGAAGCGAAGAGGCTGCTGGATAGCTGGCCGCAGACTGCGGAGTTTGGTAATGCGACGAGAATGGGGCTATTGTTTGACGAGAGTTGCGAGCAGATATATAGGGAGTATGCTGATAGCTTGAAGGCGTAGGCTTTGAAGTAAGAATATATCTCGAGTTTTAACATCCACGTTCCATCTATTCATCGTATGTTGCGGAGATGATGACCGCTTACTCATGCAACAGTCTCAAAATATATGTCCTCCTCAATCCTTTCCACGTCCAAGAACCCCAACTTCTCTATATCTACCTCCCACCTCTTCATCTTGTCTTCTAGCGTGCCAGCCAGCAAGTCCTCTTTCTTTCCGTACTGCCACCGGCTGAAACCCCCAGGCCCATTAACCCGAGCCTTATACGTACGATCAGCCTTCAGCCCTTCCATACTGCGAATGTATTCTTTCTCATTGCCCATTTCCTCCAAAGTACATTCGAATCGCCACGGTCTGTTCGTTGAGATCTCGACAAAGTCACTATCGTCCGGGAATACCGGATGGGGATCATAATCGTAGCAGACGAAGACGGCACCCCATTCAACCTTCTCCCCGGTATCATTGTCTCGGCAGTCAATGAGTTGGTCGATGCAGTGCAGGTTTGCTCCGGTGTATAGTGTGGTGACTGAAAGTGGGGAGCGTGATTTATCGAACACGAAGGGCTCGTCGCTGTCGGACGTGTACTCGATAACGAAGGTGAAGGGATCTGGACCATTGAGATGAGCTTTTTTGGGCATCTGCAACCTGGCAAAAAGTTTGGGTGGCGCCGGGTCGTCGTGGACGGTGAAGTAGTATGTGCCGCCACCTTCACGATGAACGGGCAGCTTCTGCGATGTTGTGAGGCTTTCGGAATTGCGATCGATCTCATCCGCATAACATGCGAACACTTCGCCAGCTTTCTCAGACAACCGTAAACCGCATGTATGGCCAGGCTGCAAGACTTCTTTCCACACAACATGCGTTGTTTCAGTTAACACGCTAATTGATACTTCCCGATACTGTGGGAACGACGTTGAGAGTATGTTGTACTGGCCTTTCCGATGTGATGTGAAAGATGGCAGCACTATAACACCTGCATCTTCCTTGCCAGATTGGACGAGTTCGAATAGTCCGGATCTTAATGCCTGTAGGACAGTGTTCCGCCCCCTTCCAATAACAGTGAGACCATTGCATAACAGAGTTATCGGGCGCTCTGTCTCTGGAGTTGTAACTATGAGGTGGCCAAGGCTACGACGTTGTTTGCGGTTCAACTGGAACTTGTCGTTGGGTTCCAGCTCCTCTGCCTCAAACCGGAGGGATATGATATTGCTACCATCATGACCGATCTCATCTGTCATATTGAGTCAGTGTTTCTTGATACGTGTAGCGCAGATTTGGAACAGATTCGAGTGGTAGGCGTGCTGGGGTGAAGGTAAGGATTTCGTAGCTGTTGAATGCGATCAACGATTGCGCACCCAAAGGTTACACTCGACGGTGTCTGTGGCTGATGGAAGACTGCGCGCTGACTATTGCAGGGTAAGTGTAGGCTTCAGTCTGGATGAGAGGCGCATGCTCTTCTCCATGGATGCTTCGTCGATGGCGGCACAGCTCTGACGTCACATCAAAGCAAGAACCAGAAGGGATGACACTTGGCGTTTTACCAAAAGAAGGCCACAATACCGCACATGCACCAAAAGATCTTTCGAAAGTTGCATTCAAAGGTAGCATTCAAATAATACGCATGTCCCTATCTGCTATCGTAAACATGATGGCCATAGCTAGGCTTAGCCAAGACCGCGAAGTATCCCAACCTGGCCTAGATATTCTTCCAAGTTTGACCCAGTACTCTTCGCGTTTTAACTGAATCGACCCCGTTTATACTTGGGGTGATGCGTGCTATGCGATGTGTCTGCATGATCACGTTTCCTGACCTGACGTATCTTTTGCCGAGCAATAGGTAGTGGGCTCTTGAAAGATCTTGGTAATACTCTCTCTGATGGACCATCACTTCGCGGTTGCGTACGAGACCGCGATCGATTTCGACTTTTCCTCTGGCTGATCTCCGTTTTCAAAGTTGTTTCGATAGGGCCAAATATGTGGGCAGACATGAAGTTTTGGAAGCGCTTCAATAGCCGGAGGATTGTGGGTACAAAAGGGTCGGCCCCATACTGCAAAGAAAAGAGGAACAGATCATGAAGAGATTCATCCAATGCACTTTCGTGTACACTGTTTTCATCGACAGAATGCATAGCCTCGAGAAGACCCTCCCATAGAGTGTTGCCACTGGGTGTGACTGCGTTAGGATCGAGTCCGTGTTCCAGAAACATGCGGTATAGTGAGACTCGGACAAGAAGCAATGTTGTGTTAGTCTGGTGATACAATTCCAGTTGCTGACACACATTCTGATACCATCCGCGAGGGCTTCCATTGTCGCTAAGCATAGTGTCCTCGTAGACCATGGATACATCAGCGCCGTGACGGAGAAACTCGTGCATAAGTTCATGCTGTATCGCCTGCGAGCCGCGATACATATCGAAAGCGTCTCGGGTCATTAATCGAAAAAACTCCGTGGTCAAAGTTGAGTGTTGTGTCACGGCATTCGGATCCAATCCGAGGTTGAAAAGGCGTTTGAAACATTCCAACGTGTATCGCAGACTCCCCTCCGATTTGGGTTTCGCGCGATCTAGCAGTCCTACCCATTGCTCAGTCGCTGCATTCAAGTCGGCGCCATTCTCGACGAATAACTTCAGTACAGCCCAGCATTGCAATTCCTGCTTGCTGTTTATGAACTTTGGTAGTTCGTCTGCGAAAGTAGTCCAACTGGATACACCATCTATGAGAGAGTTGGGATTCGCTCCTAGCTCAAGCAACTGCTTCACCAATGACGGCAAAACGCAATTCACGACGGACGTGGAGAGAACAGGGTCAAACCAGTCCACCAGCTGGCTGGACGAGCCGTAGCGCTCGATAGTAGAGGGCATAAGGTCGTATTCCTCGTGAAGACCGACTGGACGAGCTATCACATGTTTGAGGATACGATCGAGGTTCAAATCAGCTCCGTCCTTGTGCACTCGATATTTGAGATACTCCGCATGACCGATTGAAGCAGCGAATCGAACGATGTCACAGTTCAGTCCGCAGCTTGAATGAAACGGTCTGGTGCGCTCGTTCTCTACTTCTGCTTGATCAATGACCTCAAAGTAGTGTCCTGTATCGTCTGTTTCGAAGGCGCCTTGACCAGCCAGTTCCACAGCTAGCTTCAAAGTGGAAAGGCACGAATTTTCCTCGATGAACTTGGACGCGGCGATCAGAGCTCGACTTATAGCAGTGCACACGTTGAGCTCTCCCAAGACCCAGGACTCGAGCTTTTCCCTCATGCGTTTTGTAGCGAGAAAGTCGCTCAGAGTGCGATGGAGAAAGTCCACCTTGGTATCAGCACTTATGTCGACCATAGAACTAGCCTCCAAAAGACCTTTGAACCGACCATTAAGCCGTCTCTCAGTCTGGACAGCACATCTCTGTATGTCGGGCGCATCCCATCTCTTGCTAGGCATATCCAAGTTGAAGTTCTCGTCCTCTTGTTCCAAGAAGTAGTAATGTATCAAGTCTAATTGAAGAGGGGTCCGCATGGCCGCGAGGAATGTACCAGCCATTCGGCTTTGATATATCTCTTCAACAGAGCCTAGTATCTGCTCGAAGAAATCTTCCAGATCCGACGGTATCACACGGAGCCGCTTTTGTAATAGCGAGACTGAATCCTCATTGACGATGCCATCGCGGAGCGATCTGACCACTAAGCGAACCCAGAGAAATACTCCTTGTGCTCGCTCCCCAATATCCTTTATCAGTTCGTCGAAGATCTTGGATCCGAAGTCAACGCAACCGCGATAGGATCGCAGCAGGGTTTCCCGTGCGAATAACTCAATGTCCGGTCTTGTGAAGTCATGTATTCGAAGAACGTACGGATTCTCTTGTCCGAAAGACCTTTGGAAACAGTTCCAAGGTCTACTGGAAAGGCAGAGCTTGACGTTTGGGGCGGCAGACAGGTCCCGCATAGTTTCAATTACATCCCAGCTGTCTCCGTAATACTCGTCAAGGCCGTCTACTTGGAAGTAGAACTTGGTGGCTACAGTCGTTTGTGTTCGGAATAACGCGATTGACTTTTGCAGTTCGGAAAGAGTCCATGGGATAGGCGAAATGCTGGTGTTAGGTTGAGGCGGAGACTCAGCATGCCATCTCTCAGGACATATTGTCGAAGCTAACTCGGGACAAGCATGTAGTATATGGTAAAGAAGGCTTTGCAAAAGTCCTTCCAACGACCTTTGCATTTGTTGACCCGGTTTCCAAAAATAGAAACATGCTCGGACCAGCGGTGCGTGTCCACACCAGACTTGGAGATTTCGCTTAGTCTTGTCATGTTCGTAAACATATTTCATCAGAGTTGATTTCCCGGAACCTGGTACGCTGTTTAGCCATTGGAACGTACGATGATGATAGCCTGAAATTACCTGGCTTCCCTGTAATCCAATAGATCCCGTCATCACGTTGCAACCATTGTGTGAACCGGGTATTTGGCCGTAAAGTAGGAGCATCGGTATCTTCACCACTGTACATCCATGCAAAGGTTCTTATGTGGGCATCTTTGATAGCGCTCTGTCGGATTTCCATGCAATCGTAGCGGAGACTGGCGATGATCATGTGACTTCGAGACAACTGATGAACTCTCGACGATAGTTGAGAGAAGTGATCGTGAAAAGCCTTTGAGATGGCATCGCTGCAGTGATCCGAGATGCTTCGCTGAGTAGCTTGGAGCTGAACATCCAATTCCTGGATCTGTGCAGTAATCTCGTAACCTGCCTGGATGTTTTTCTTCTTCCAGGTCTCCAACAAGTCCATGAGCCTGACTTGGTTGTTACTAGATGCATGGTGAGCTAACGTGAGAAGAGGTAAGATCAAGAGAGCTCACTTGGTATCGGAAACTAGATGCATCGCGACCTGGTCTCTGAGCGCACCTAGCCTCGCCTTCAATTCTTCGATGTGCGCTTTTCCCCAAACCGATTCCAGAGCTCGTCGAAAGCTTTGCCACCTTTTTGGTAAACTTCCAGTTCTCGGTCCATGCTTGTGATGAAGCTTAGAGATTGCATCCAGAAGTTCCTCAGCAATAGTGTCGCAACGATGAGCGATTTCGGATAGTCGTCGTGTTGAACATGCACTTGCAGTTATACGTTTACTCAAGGTCCTAATGTCCTGGGAGATGATCTCGAGGTCGACATTCTCGTTCAATGTGCCCGACACAGACTGATGCAGTTCCTTGGTTTTCGACACAAGAACGAAGCTGAACGAGATGAATTGGATAATGTTCCCGGCAAGAGCAATAGCAGCAAGACCTTCTGCCATTCTTCACGGTGATGTCTCTGGGTGGATTGCAAAGTCGTGGTCGAGCGAGACGCAGCCAGCCCTGGTTTCATAGAACGAAGCGGTGCAGCGGCTCGGCTCCGCCATCATCAGGCTGGGGCTGTGTTACTCTGTGGCAACTCCTGATTCGATGAGGGAATGGCAACGGACTTCCGGCATACAGCGTGCACTTTGGAAAGGCAGAGCGATGCTCTCATACGTCGTTCCAGTGAGATGTGGCGGTTTTGGTTGGTGAGGATTGGAAGTTACAGTACAAGCTCTGGTGCTTGGCGAGGTCCAGGTGCGCCTGCCACCAGAACGGCAAGGCATACCGCGAAAAACAAAAACAGCGGCACGTTTGTTGAGCCGATAACGCGTTCAGTGTCAAGAATCGAATACTCGCGAAATACATTGAGCCATGAAGCTAGATAGACGATATGCATGAAAATTCTTACGACGAGCCGTTCGCACCGTTCTTACGATGTTCTAGTCTCTGCTTTTCATACTCTCCCTCTCAGCCACTCGCCCGCCCGCTTAGCCATCTGCACAGCCTCCTGGTTAAACCCTAGAAGATGACCAAGAAGGAGGATGTCATGCGGGACATTCTCCTCAATATCCAACTGAAGATCATTACCCGCCTCCTTCATCTTCTCCGCCCACTCCACAATATCAAAGTATAGCACCTCTCCACTGCCCGTGTTCACGAACATGGGCACCTCAGTCTTGAACGTCCGGTTCTTCTGCGAGACATAAGGCTGCGACAAGACCTTCTCTCCACCCTCACCCGCATACGCGGTTGTGCCCCACGCCGTGAACGGCGGGGAGATGTAGTCTGTAGCGTAGTTGCGGTTGTCATGGACGTAGGAGCCGGAGGTATCGGCGGGGTTGGTCCACGGTGACCAGAGTAGCGCGGATGAGGGAGCGGGTAGGCTGAGCTCGGAGCCGTAGTCGGTGATGTAGCGGAGGAGTGCGATCGCGAGGTTGCCGCCTGCTGAGTCTCCAGAGAGGATGATGTTCTTCGGGGAGATATTGAGGTCGTTCAGCAGGTATAGGTATGATGTCAGACTGTCTTGGAGGGCAGCGGGGAACGGGTTCGAGGTCTTCGAGACGGGTAGGGTGGAGAGGCGGTATTGCGGGCAGAAGACGTGCGTGGCTGGTGTATGTTTGAGGAGTTTCTTGGCCATGGGTCCGCTGGCTGCTGTTCGTCCATCCCCTAGAAATTGTTAATTTTGGACGCGCCTGGATAGTGGAAACGGCATGCTCACCCGTGACGAAAGCTCCGCCGTGAATATGAAGAACGACCTTCGTGTTCTTATCACTACCCGTGGTTAACGGTGCGGGAAACCACGTCCCCCCGATTTCCACAGGCACAACATCCTTATTGCTCCTCAATGGCCCCTTGTATGCATCATTCTTTGCCGGCTTGATGACTACGAAGCGCTCCTTCTCTTGTTCCGGTGTCAGGGGCAGCGGCGTGGCAACCTGCACCTTTGACACGTGCCATAGACCAGAGAAGAAGGCATGCACGGTGATAGCCTGTCGAAGAGTCCAGCTGGGATGCTGGCGACCGAGAACGAGGAATTTGATCAGGATGATAGGGAAGCGCACGAGCTCGAAGCCCAGGGCGCCGAGCCCGTAGACGGCCTTTACGGGGTGTTGCGTGAGGTCCACCATGGCGCTAGTGGCAGTGTCGATAGGGATGAAGAGAGCTCCATTGCGGGACTAGGGACTTATAACGCGATGACGATGGTGTGCCGCTTGCCTGTGATTGTTGAGGGGCGGCTGGTTCTGAGGATCTGAGCCGAGGTCCTTGGCGAGGCTAGCTCATGATCTCCAAAACTACCCCACATCTGTACCTCGACTTTTCCAACCTTTGCCGTTATCGACTTAGGAGAACCGCATCTTGGTACGCACCGCATTTGGTCCGGCGACATCGCAACCCGTGTCTGAGCACGCAAAATTGATCCGACGCGTGGGCATGGCGGTCGGACGACTCGTACACCTCGGAAGACTATCCGGCGTAGCTGGGTACTGTTGCTAACGCCCCTTACAACACTCATCACGTATACATTCGTCCGGTACCTGAATTACTGCATCTCCCAGAGGCGTGCGCCGCTTCCCAAAGAAAGAGCTTAGAATACATGACATTACATTGCAAGATCACATGGGTAACTCATATTGCTTCTTTTCGCATTCGAATATCTCGAATCTGTCTATATCCTTTCAACATTGATGAGCCTCTGTTGGCCTCGCTCTGTACCACTATCAGCCGGATCCTGTCATATGAGGATTTTATCTCTTCCAACCCGAAAGGAGCGTGGCGCTGGCTGGTATCGTCAACGCCCGCTCGGGTATCAGGGTAATCACAGTCTGAATCGAAAGTGACAACCGATGTTGCCACTTAGGTTGGAGTCTCTCTCAGGCTAAGTGTTCACTGACGTCTCCTTCTCGATCTGGGCGGCTTGTAATCTCCATCAGGGTCTTCATGCTGACGTCGTTTACGCTTAGCCCTAGCAGCAGTGTTGGATGTAGCAACTTGAGGCTGGGTTCTGCGAGATGAAGCGACAAGAGCATTCTGCTGGGGCTGCCTAGTTGTTAAAGTTGTTCCCTGGCTGTCACCGGTCTGAGTGGATTGTTGATTTGTCCTCGACGTGTTCTGCTGGCTTCCTTGTCGGGTATTCCGTTCAGGCTGCTTCCCACTGGCCTTCTTAACATGCTTCGCGGGTGTGAGTTCCTCGGGACGAAAGTACGTAATCAGCGCCAGGATATCCTCTATCATGGCACCTGTAGGGCGACTATTCTTCGTTCCCCGACCTAGATGAATCCGGTCTCGGATCATTCGTTGTACCTCCCTCAGCTTTCCTGGTGTATGGCTGGCTAGATCTCGAAGGAGGACGAGGAACTCCTCGCCCCATCCTAGGCATCCTTTGGCTTTGCTGACGTGGTTGTAGCTCAGGCCGTTTGGAAGTGCTTCCCAGGCATCGTCAATACCCCATAGTCTGCATATATCCTCGATTACCGCGTTGATAACCGGTTCGGGGGTCGAAGATCGTGATCGCTGCGTGTTGGGTGTCATGGTAGATATTGATGAAGAGAAGCGCTCGATGGACGTGATTGCGCTCTAGTAGATCTGACCTTAGTCGCGATTGCAGAGTTGCCAACTGCTGTACGGAGGCTGGGATCATATAGGAGCTGACGAGACCATATCGCGTCGAGGGGAGGCGTGTGACTGAACAACGTCGCCATCGTTTGTATGGATGAGAAGTGGCCTCACAAAAGTTCGCATTTCGACTTTCACCCGAATCAACTCGCCTACGGTTTACTACTCGCTCGCTTCAGTGAAAGCGACAGCCGAGATGCATCGCGGGTCTCAGTGCCTTGCTGTTGACGGCTATTTAGATAGCGCGGCATAGTACTCACACTCCGCCCTGTGTTCGAACTGGGCCACCAGCGTAGCTGTCGGAGGCTTGCGTATGTAATATCTTCATGGTAAATATTATGAGGAATGTAGTTCGGTCCTGTACTCGTTCGATTCCGTGTTTAGACGACATGTCGGACTTTCTATACCAACAGAGCAGATGCAGTCTTTTATTAGTGAAAGGCTTGTTCGACCTTTGTCTCCAAACAATGAATCATGAATATTCCAGCTAACTACCACTTGGCTTGCCGAAGAGAAAGCTCTTTGCGCCCTTCACACCTTCGATGCGAGTACAAACCGTCGAAATCTAGGGAAGATTGAAGCACTTGACTGTGAATGCGTACTGACATGTACAGCAATACCTCAATGATTTAGTCAATCTTATCTCTTCATGGTGGGTAGATGAAAGACCTGAGGGAGAGATTTGCTTACTCAGCTCACTCTGCCAAGCCAAGCCCTAGCGTCTTTCCGCTCAGAGCTCCCACCAGCTTCAATCAAATCTTTGGGCTTCCATTCTACCACCGGCATCTCTCCACCGCCGAAGAAGGTGCCCAAACTAGCGACGTTTCTTCTTTTCGCATTACCATCACTTGCGACTCCACGCGATCAAAATGTCAGGCTTCAGTTGTCAGTTGTCGCACCTGCCGGAAGCTGTCAAACATGGAAAGAACAACAATGCACATGCACGCTGATATCCGCCGAACAGTCTTCGCCAAAAACGTCGGACTAGTGCGCTCCTCGTATGATAAGCAAAAGCAGAGAACAATGGGGACGTCGCATGCATAGCCTTGCTGGCCATCATGCCTCGGTTGAGGATGTTGCCCCTTTCCGAAAGTCAGGCGCGCGCGGTACCCCATTCAACGACCTTCATCGCAGAATACACGATGGATCATTCTTGCGTAGTCGCAAACATACTGAAAAGGAACAACAATAAACACCCACGCCGTCCAGTCGTCGTTGTGGTGTTGAATAGATTGTGCTGTGTCTACTCGTAGACAGCTCCGCCAAATTACTGGGGTACCTGTGTCCGTCGGCAATTCCGCCGAGAGAAGGCGAACCCAGACCACTCCATGTCGCGTGCACGACCCGGAGATTTTCAGGACCAATTGGCTAGAAGAAAATACCAATCATGCGTGGGGTTCGTGATGCCAAAATTAGATGACAACGGTCTAAGATCGTTTTCTAGACGAAGCTGTCCTTAGCTCTTCGGTGAGAGTAACCGCAACCCCACACCTTCCATGCTCCATCCTACATCGTATCCTGAACACGAACTTAGTCGCTGCAACGGGCACTATGGCAGCCCCGTATGCGCATTGATCATGCGCCGTTTAAGAAGCCCCGTAGCGATACCCTTTAATAGCATTACGCATTCTAGAGGCCTTATATACCGCTTCTACGCGCAACGGTCTTCACCATCATCATTCGACATTCGTTTAGTCCTTCGTTAGAACATCCAAACACATTAATCATGAGGAGAAACCAACTAATCAGCCTCGCGCTGCTTGCCCCGAGTTGTCAAGCCTACGTCTGGCCCAGCAAGTACGACCAGCTCGATGACTTACTGTATCTGCAATCTGGGTACATCAGGAATGGAGAACTCTCAGATCGTACGTACCCATACTCCCCATTTTACCCCTCCTGCAACTTACACAGCAACAGAGGTCCAGACCTGCTCATTCGGCGCTCGCCAACCAGGCATCCAAAAGGCCGCGGAATGGGTGCGAACGAACTTCCACGACGCCGTCACCCACGATGCCTCAACGGGGATCGGAGGCTTGGACGCCTCGATCCAATACGAACTCGACAGACCAGAGAATCTCGGTGCCGCTTTGAACAACACCTTATCCGATATGGCCAGTTCAGTCAACATCCGGAGTTCCGCAGCCGATGTTTTGGCCTTGTCATTGGTCATGTCTGTGGCTCGTTGCGCTGACATGCGCGTACCTCTACGACTGGGCCGCAAGGACGCGGCAGAGGCTGGCATCAAAGGCGTACCGGAAGCGCACACCGACCTCGACACCACAAGGAAGAGATTTGAAACTGCCAGTTTGACAGAGAAGGAGATGATCACTTTGATTGCTTGTGGTCACAGCATTGGTGGTGTTCACTCAGTCGATCACCCGGAGATCGTCTCCGGTCCCGTCACCGCCGAGAACAAGGCGACTTTCGATACCACCAGCGGAGAGATGGACAACGCTGTGGTAACGGAGTACCTCAACAACTCGACAGCGAACCCATTGGTCGTCAACGCCAACAACACTTTGAACTCCGACAAGCGCATCTTCCTTGCCGACGACAACGCGACTATGCGCAAGCTTGCAGACAAGGCCTACTTCAAGTCGCAGTGTGAAGCTGCATTCGAGAAACTTATCCACCTCGTGCCAGGAGATGTCACACTAACGGAGCCCATGGAGCCAGCGGATATCCGTCCTTACATCACATCATACCAACTCAAGGACGGAGCAGTCGAATTAACAGGACGTCTTCGTGTCCGAACCACGCCAGTCACCGGCCGCGACGGCAACACGCTCACAGCTTCTCTCATTCCAGTTTCGCGCAATGGCAGCGCACCCGCCGAGATCGTCGCCAACCGCGCTACCTACAAGTTAGGAACGTCTTCTGGATACCTAGATGAAGTGTTCCAGTGGTTCGAATTCACCCAGACACTCAACGCCACCGATGCCTTCGACTCCTTCACCATCCGTGTCAACGACAAGACCTACGACAACGGCGGCACAGGCAGCTACCCCATCAACCCCGACGTCCTCTACCAAGAAGCGCAATCATGCACGGCCAAGGATACCACAACAGGCGAATGGAAGATGACCATCACCGCAGCCGTTTTCAAGGCCCTCCTCCAGACCGGTGCTACACCACAGCTCAACGTCTCGAAGAAGACCAAGGTCCAGGGCCTTGTTATTCCTCGTCTTACACCAACAATTGTCGAGATGAGCCCCGCGGGCAAGGAGACTGCGGAGTATGTGTATTACACTGCGACGACGGTTCTGAGTGAGAGGGGCCTTGATTCTACGTTTGATATTGAGGTTGGGGAGAGTAAGGTGGAGTTTATTAATGCGAATGCGCTTACGCAGCAGGAGTGTGCGGCTTTGTAGATACCCAATTTTTAATGAACGCTCTAATTTCTTCCACTACCAAGTCTTCTCCAGCTACGACAAGATATGCCTCGAACGAATGCAAGAGACTACACAGGGTAAGTCAATGTCGCCATAACGCCTTGCTACTATTGGAAACCGCTACTCCCACTCACAATCCTAGCTCAACAGCAGCTTTCTCGATTTGCCTCTCTGTCTTGTGAAGCTCCCATTCAGACTCGACGTCTGCCCCTGTCTGCTCGGCCCAAGCCAGATGATCTTCGTATTCGACGCAGAAATCGGGATCTGTCAGCCACCAATCGATTAAGACCTCGTCAACACCGTTTTCGATGGCAGGAAAATCATCATCGTATGAGAACCTGAATAATTGATCATCGGGGTTGACAGGATTTATGCGAAAGCAATCGAGTTGAAGCTGCAGAATGATCTGGTGCAGTGGTGAACGAGCCCCGAACGACCGAGCTAGAAGTCCTAGGTATATGCCGACTTCGTATGCGTTGTCTGACGATCCAAGGATGGCTTTTGCGAAATTCTTCTTCAACTCTGGTATACGCGGGAGTGTAACACCGCCGCGTTTGTCATTGACGAGGAACTCGCTCATGTTGAATCCGCGCTGCATGAGCGTCTCGACAGAGACCTCATGGATGAGGTATTTTCTTGGTATTTCCCACTCGAAAATATACTCGTGTCGCAGCCAGCTGGAGTCTTTCATCCTCAATATATCGGCTAGACCCTCGGCATGATGGTAGACATGCTTGTCTCCATTGGGCACGAAGAAGAACGCGATCCAGATCTGGCTGGGGTCTTCTCGAGCCACGTGAAACTTGTTGAACGCGCGCCGAAGGGTGTCAATCATTCGGCTACTGACTGAAACGAGGGCAGTCGGCTTTCTTGTGTTTAGATTCAGATGATTGATGAACTCAGGGAGAAGGTTGTCGCCTAAGGGTCGTGCTTGCCTGGGACCTTTGCCAGAGATGAGGCCGCCAGCGCTGCTGTGCGAGTAGCATCGATAGAAGTATCTTCCACGATCGCTCATCTTTGGGTATAATCGGCGTGTTGGAGGAGCGCTGCGAAGATCTAGCTGCGAGCGTCTGGGGACTTGTTCCCCGCGCGAGCAGGGTTAGTGGCACCACCTGTGCATCCAGTGCCCTCCAGGCTGCCAGGCTGCCAGGTTCCGGGGCTACCTGGAACTGGTATTCCCGGCGCCACTACAGAAGCAATACAAGCGTCCTCTTCGTAACTACAACAATGCGCATGCGATAATGGATGCTTTTCCTCAATGGAAGCAATGTAACCATGATATAAGAGTTCACTCATGTGGCCTTCTCAATCCCACTGCTAGGGAGCTTTAGCGCGCGATCACGGTGCTCAGTAGTATACAATATTACATATACCACCACACGTCCCACACTGACAACCCTTACGGTGCACGATTTTCTTGAGCATCTATAAGACCAAGCCAAGCTCTAAGTCTTCCTAGTCATCTACTGATACATCATCCCCACCAACCACACCAGGAACGCCGAACCATGCAACCCAACCCTACAACTTCGAAGACAGCTTCCCGCTCTTTTGCGCCGTGTAAGTGGCGATGAGATCCATCAACGCTGGGCTAAGCACATCATATGTCTGCAGACCCTCCTTCCTGAACTTCTCTCGCACGGCGTCCATCTCCTTCGGGTTGAAACCCTGCTCGATGATGCTGCTGACGAAGGCGGCGAACTGCGGCTCTTGCCATCCCTTCTTGTCACTGAGTTCAACGTGGACGAAGTCCAGGCCCTTGAATGGATGGTCGACGACAATGCGACCGAAGAGGTGGACGCCGCATTGCTTGCAGGCATTGCGCTGGATGGCCGCTGATTCGTCGATGATGTGCAGCTTGTCGCCGTTGGCAGTTACGGAGACGTTGTCCTTTGGAATGACTCCAACGACAGAGAAGAGCGCGCCCTTTGGCTTCCAGCATTTCGAGCAGCCGCAGGCGTGGTTGTGCGCGACGTTGCCAGCGAGGGTAACTTCGACCTTCTTGGTGGGGCAATGGCAGTAGAGCTTGCCGCCGGAGAATTTGGGGTCGCCCTTCTTGATACCGTTGTCGATGGCGGGGTGGATGGACGGCATTATGAGCACTAATTTATCGATGGTTTACTTGGAACAAGAGGTGGTTGTTTGAGGTTATCTGGAGGGTGACAAAGTCGCAAATACTCAGGTACCTAGGCGCACACTATATACGGGTCCTGCGTTCCACATCGAGACTATCACCCCCTCACGGGACTGCGCAACCGATCAAGAAAGAACCGCCCCAATATGTGGTGCGACCGCACGCAATACTGATGGTATTGTGGATTGGAGGTGCGGAGCCGCATAACGTTGCCGCTTTAGGTCACTCGGCCCTTCCCCGCCTCGCTTTGGAGATTGCCGCGATACAGCTGCCTGCCCTTTGGAGGCGATGCAGATGCTCATATTCACTGCATTTCGCAAACATGAAGAGACGATCCGTCACTACAGCTTCGAGACGAGACCGACGCTCTGATGAGCATTGCATTCGGTGGTGGTGTTGCACGTGCGAAGTAGAGGATGCCTCGTATCGGCGCCCGGCAAGACCCTGATTATGCTCGCAGAGGGAAAACAGTAGCCAAGAGCGGTAGTCCGCCAAAAGAGCACGTCCAAAAACACCACAGCTTGTACATCTGTCGATCCAACCTTCCATCCTGTATACCGACCGCTCGCATAGCCGTACCCACCAAAAGCCCACCAAGACAGACCGAAACTACCGCCGCCTCCCAGCGAGTACCCAAGAAGACCAGCGGTGCATAAAATGTCCAGAAAACGACGGCCACCACAACAATCCACAGCGCACGTCTCCTACCCAACTCGATCGGAATGGTACGCCGGCCCCGAGCGCGGTCACCGGCTTCGTCGCGAAAGTCTTGGGCATGAATCGTTGTGCCGATGATGCCGAATGTGACCAGAAAGATCCATTGCCATGCTGCGTAGCTCATCGTAGTGTACGGGCCAAGGGCACTTCTCAGGGCGCCGCTGAAAGGGCAGACGAGGCCAAGAGCACAAATGGCATTGCGCGAGATGCCGCTGTAGTCGCTTCCGCTATAATCGTGGTATAAGGTGTTGAAGACAACCCATGCGACGTACATTGGCACTACGTTAAGGTGGTAACTGACAAGTGCAAGTACCAGGTACGCAGCGATCATCAGATTCGTAGTCTGCGCTGTATTGATCCTTCATGTTGGGATTGGACGCCAGGCTTGTTGATTGCGTCTTCTTGAAGTGAGGATTCATGACGCTGATTCTGCAGGCAGCATGGCAACAGCATCAGCCAAAGCCATGTCAACGTTGTTGGTACTCTTCGCAACACCGCGATACTGTCTTGGGACGGTAAATCCAAAGCTGGGCCGGAAAGAGTGGCGAGCACATCGAAAACTGCGGGAGGGATGACCACGTCTTTTAGGTTGTCGCACGTGAAGAGGACCAAGGTGTCGGCATGGTACAGTATACTCTTCACTGCCTTTGATGGGCTTGCGACGAATTTGGATGTGGGATGATTGTCGATGGGCGTAGAGACAGCCATGCTCTCGCCCATGTCTGACGACGTCACCTCCATGGCAGACATGGTGTACGCAAATTGTGTAGGGTAAAGAGGTCGATGTTTGGAGTCCACCGAGGGTGAGTTGCTGTGTGTATGCCCTTCATAGCTTCCTCGTCTGTCTCTTATAGCGCATCCCAGCGAACGCTGGCATATCTTGTCACTCCAGGACTGGATATAGCTTGGTATTCCCTCGCATGTCAGAATCGATACTGCTCTTGCATCTCACGTTCAGCGGGAAGATGAACGAGTGGGTACGATACCGTTCTCGTCACAACCTGCTTACATGCCTTATCTCGCTGTAAGCCCTGCTGTTCATGTCCATCACTGTCCCTATCCAGCCTCGAACATTGCCGTCGCATACTTGTTGCACGGTAAACCGGCATCCGGCGACGAACTTGTGGAAATCAAAGCTTTGCGAGTGGTTGTTCATGTTGCGTCCCTGTTACGCCCGGCAGGATGCGTATGAGTAGCTAAGCGACGTTGTATACCTTATTTTACTTGAACGTTCGGCTAGCAGGTGTAAAAACATTGGGTTTCTGGCCATCGTGGGCCTGAGCTATGTAGCGTCATCCTGCAAAGAGAAGGTATCTCATGGAAGATATTGATCTGGAACTTGCCGTGTGTTGCTAATGTCTGGGAAACATATGCGGGACGTCTACGCTGTGGACTTTGCTCGTAAGCTAGGTCGATCCTATAACTTCATACATCAGGTACGGGCTTCTTGGTGTTCAAGTGGAGTTCTGCTTGCAGCAGTGAGACCAATCGATGGCCCGATGTTCCGGTAGATAATTAGTGATCCAGGCGATCTTTGGTGGTGCTGGCGCCCAGCTTGGTCGACAGACGCTCCGTACCGCCCTCGCTCATCAAAGGCACTGTGTTGTGTGCACCACACCACGATGCATTCTGTTCGTCATTTCTAGTGAAAATTGTCTTAGCTCGTCAACAAGTAGCATCTTTACGGCAAGATGCCAGTGGCGTAAGCCCCTAATATCTAGAGGGGTGTTGGAAGGGGCTGTAAGCAATCCCAGAGGTGTCCGGAATGTTGCAGAACTCTCTCTTAATGCTCTGACGTTAGCTATCTGGATACTGCTACCAAAGCGGTATGTGCAATAGCAGTGCAGAGCGTCAGTCTAGACGTGATAATGTGACATGCTGATGGCGCGGAAGAATGCATCCGCGAAGGTCCTGTAAGGGGTCTTAGCATAGTGCCGCCGCGTGCGCGCAAAGCCCCGACCCGTGACCGTCCATATGTGCTTCGCCACTTTACCCTGTCGATACGGACGCTTGTTATACGGTCCAGTATCTTGCGGGCGCGTCGCAAAGAATGATGTTAGAGAATGAGGGGGGCAACTGCAATGATGCGCGCGAGGACGGGGCCACCTTGGCAAAGCGGCACGGGCCTCAGCCGACGCGCCCATCCGAGGTCGCACCTGCCGTGTCTGCTCGCGCACCCCACTCAACTCATCTCTACATCAATCCTTCGTTCGACATGCATGGGTCCTTGTAACTGCTTCGCTGGAATTCCATTGCCATTATGCTTCGAAAGCGTACGACAGGTTCACCGCGCGGGAGGCAGCAATTTACCTTCGTCATCTGTCGGGAGCTGTGAACGTGGCCAGCGGCTATCAAACTACCAGAGCTGGGGTAGCGATCCTATGAGTAGGATCGAGACCTGCTTCAACGCGTACTAATGCACGACCGGAAGCTCGCATTGGAGCCGTTCACCCAATATCAGTGCATGCGGACTTTTTGACTACTCACTCGTACATCAAGGTAAGACGTATGCTGAGGACGCGACCTTTCAACTACTGGCTCCATGTACCTAAATTCTGGGATATAGCATGTGCACCATAAGACATTCTTAGATCAACCTCCTTTCACTCGAGACTGAAAGATCATAGTACATGCCGGACACTCTTATAATCCTACCGTCTGAGGCCAAGGCTACCTTCTTCAAGGTGTACACTTGTGGTTACGGACGCCGGGTCATGTGCTGTCGCAAGCTCTTCCCTACTATCATCCATCGCTAGCCACGTCTCTGATGGGTTCTCCTTGCGGTTCCCCGATCCACCCGAGCCACCAATGGTAGTGAGTTGGACTTCTTGCTCATCCGCATCAGGTCTTCTTATTGCGTTTCGGCCTGCGCGAACCAGGACAGCAAATGATGGGGTTAGACCGATGACTACGGCTGTCGATCTGGTTAGCGACATTGCCATCGGTAGTTTCCAGTCATGCTCAACCAAATCGTGGAATGAAGGACAGCGGACGTACCAACGGCGCACTCAGCCATGCCCCAGACTGCGAGCCATGTTCCGTCTGTGTCGGCATCTGTATTGATCGTGTTTGCGGTAATTTGGGCGGCTCGGAGTGTAGATATCATGATGCAAAGAACAGCACTAGCGAAAAGCGCATTGATGCCTAGCCCGTCTGTCAGCTTCCAGGGTATCATACATTATGATTGGCAACATCAAGCATTGAATGGCTCAAACTCCGCTGTGTTTTTTGAAGTTTGAGGGCGGAGACACATACTGCGAAGGTATCAGCAGTGCATACTGAACGTCAACTCGGCTTATGACCTACCCAATCTTTTGTCCTTGTGGCAATTGAAGATTCCACGTCAGATGCATGGGAAACGCAATGACTGTAAAGAGCGTTGATCAGATGAAGCTCTGAATGGTATATGTATTGTGTGCTCGCACGTACTCATGATGTTGGTCAGCGTGTCAGCAGCGAAAGAATACCAGACACTCATGAACTGACGCACCCTGTCGTGACAGCCACCGTTGAAGAACCCTTTTAGAGTCTCGCAGGATTCGATATAGCAGACGTAGTTCCCTACTTGAGTCTATCGATCCCTGTGAGCGCAGGTAGCATCAGGGTCGAAGCTGTACGGGGACTTACAATGGCACAAAACACCACGATGAACCACCAGATCTTGTTGTAGACACTTGGTACTCCTACCAGAAGCTTTCTATACAGGAACAGCAGGCTAAACTTAACCAGCCAAAGTATTATCCAGAAGGTGATAAGAGCGGGGAAGTACAGCCTTCCCAGCAAGAAACCTTCATCGATCAGTTCCGGATAATATGGCGCTCTTCCCTCTTGGACTGCCACGACGCGGTCTGACAATGGCGCAATCGCAATGTATAGTGCGCATTGAGAAACGAAGAAAGCGTATGCTAAAAAGACGCAGTAGTCTTCCGCTACAAACCTCTTCGGCCGCAGCACAAGGAGCACTATCCGAGCTATCATGACCACCGAGACAACAGATACGGCGACGTAGCCAACCGTAAGTACGGTCGTCTGCGAGAACGAGTTACTGGATTTCTTGATGCCCTCGCTGTTGCCGTTGGGTAGCGGAGCGTCTGGCATCGTGATAGATGTGCAAAAAGACCTGAAGCATCTAAAAAAAGGAAACGAGTTGGTGAAAACGAGTTAAATAGAGATGAAAAGACAGACGAGTGATGGGGCGCGGTCTATATGTGATGATCAACGCCTGAGATCAACACGGCTGAGACATTTTACATATGGGCTATAGGCTCCTTGTTGTGATGTCTGAGACATGCCTGCATCGGCAAGAGTGATTGACGCCCCAGTGATCCGGTAAATGGCGTTATCGTCAAGAGCGTTCCTTTGTTGGTGCTGCCGCTGCCAAGTTCTCGTGGTAGACGCTCCGTTCCGCCCATGTTCATCGTAGGCGCCACGCGCTATGCAGCGCGCGCCAAATTGCAATGCTTGCTATTCGTGACTCTTTGTATATGTCTCCTGGTGCCTTTGGCGGCCTTTCCCTTCTCTGCAAACTGCAAAATAATGCGCAATGCTTTGATTGTCGACGAACATGCTTTACTTCGCTAATGTCGTTTCTTTGCGCGCTCATAGAAGTTGGGCTTGCTTCGCTACTCAAGCGCTTGAAAATTTGGAAATGGTTTAGAGCAGCACATCCACGGAAGTACACTCGCAATGCGGGAGTCGGTGCGTGACATGCCGAAGCTGCGGAAGGGGCCACCCGCCGGGTGAAGTGAATCCGGCCGCACTGTCACATTGCTCTAGACCTTAACAGGTATAATCTGATTGGTGCGTGAATTCTCTGAACAAGGTGGTTTTTCGTGGACTATAGTCGTCAAGTCTCGTTGCGATGCTCAAACTGAAATATCGCACCACCCGGAGCCCGACAAGCCGGATGACCGGTGTCCGTGCCACCTTGGCAATGCGGCACGGTCCTCAACCAACGAGCCGCGCCTTTCCCACCTTCCGTGTCCGCTCGCCCACTCCACATATCTCATTCCAATGTGAATCCTTCGCTCGCCCTCATCCTCTTAACCAGTTGCTCCTGGGCGCAGGAGAGTTATCGCCATGATGACACAGCTACGCACGAGCGACTTGTCATTCGGCTCTGAAGTCCAGCAATGTGCCCCATCTCCTCCTGGAAGCCACATTTACTCAACCACTCTTGCCAAACCAGCGCTGAGGAGGCAATCCTACAAACGGAATATATGCACCCTATAGCGTATGCTAATGCAGGGCCGGCAGCTCACACTTGTCTCCATATGAACGCAGCCCCTCATCAGGCCTGTCTAGGCATCGGTTCGCATCCTGTCAACCCTTACGACGGAGTGAGGCTTGCACTCCGATTGGGTGTAATCCAAGGAAGCTATGTCCTTTTGCTAACAAAAGCCTAGCTAGAGCCACGGTGAACGCAGGTGTGAGCCAGAAGCCTCCTGTCGGTAGATGCAGGCTACTAATCCGAGGGACTTCTTCGCCTACTTACTCGTACATGAACATACATCTGTGGTCAACGGCCAAATGTAAAAGCACGAGGTAGCCTCGTCGTTCATCCTATTTTGGAGTCCTGTACAACATTCCCCACCATGAAATTTGTTGAGAAGGTTATGTGTGGCACCCTTGCCGTAATGGTAGGGGCGTCGGCCCAAGATACGTTCGAAGCACCTGATTTCAATGTAACCGAAGCCCTGATCCAGAATGGGGTCAATGTTTCCGCAATGCCTGAATTGGCGGGCTTGGCCATCCGATCGTCTTTAAGCGGCTGCTCCATCGCAGTGAGTTTTGGCGCTGTGCTTCTCTGCAGCATAAGCTAACTTCCACGACAGTGTGGCTCGCTCGAAGTCGTCTTCGGTAAAGAAAAGACTGCCCGTGGACAGAATGCCGAATACTGGTCGAACCAACAAGCCGCCGTTGTGCCGTATTGCACCTTTACTCCCAAGGCCACTCTTGAGGTGTCATCCTTGATACTGATATCTCGCCTTACCCAGTGCCCCTTTGCGGTAAAGAGTGGTGGGCATGCCGCGTTTCCCGGTGCTTCCAGTATCCATGGAGGTATTACGGTCGACTTGAAAGACTTCACCGTGCGCAAGCTGTCTGCGGACCAGAAGACTGTCGCTATTGGGCCAGGTAACCGGTGGATAGATGCATACCGGTATCTCACACCCTACAACTTGACGATAGTCGGTGGCCGAGTACGTTCAATTCGGACGCCAAGCTACTCTCCATGAAGTGCGCTTACATCTTCTAGGCCGCACACGTCGGTGTTGGTGGTCTGACTCTAGGTGGAGGCATCAGCGATTTGACAAACGAATACGGTCTTGCCTGCGACAATGTCGCGTCCTACGAAGTCGTTACCGCGTCTGGCGTTATTGTCAACGCGTCTCCGAGTCGCTACCCCGATCTATACTGGGCCCTACGCGGTGGCGGAAACAACTTCGGTATTGTCACAACCTTCCAATATGAGACTATTGTACAACCACCCATGTGGGGTGGGATGCGTATCCACGACCCCAGCACCACTCCCGCATTGATCACTGCTTTTGAGAACGCCATCAATAATGCCGAAGAAGATACGAAGCTCGCACACGTAGTGTCATTTACAACATACGATACTTACCAACTCGCGTTTACCGAACTCGAATACCTTCTCCCAGTCGACCTCTCGAACCCTCCCAAAATCGCCAGGGAGTATCTCGGTATCCCATTCATGCAAGACAAGACGAGCAACAGTACCCTCGAAGATCTGACGCCACACCGAAGCGACGATATGCCATCTGGTTTTCGCACCTCCATGTGGTCTGCGTCATTCAAAATGAGCGCCGAGCTCATCCAAAAGATGACCGATAGATTCTTTGAGGTGGCACCTAGTCTGCCTGCCGTCTCCGTGAACATTGCATTCCAAGCGTTCTCCAAGCCAGCGCTACAAGCGATGCAAAAGAAAGGTGGTAACGCCCTCGGCTTGTACCCCGAGAACGGCCCGTTCTTTCATGTCTTGGTGTATATGGCGTGGAACGAGTCTAGCGACGACACAACGATGATGAAGGCTGCCCAGTCCTATATTGAGACGTCCAAGGGTATGGCTAGGGAGCTGAGTGTCGATAACGAGTACTACTATATGCCGTACAGCAGCGGATATGAGCCTGTGGTTGCTGGGTATGGAGAGAAGAACATGGCGAGACTAAGGGCTATATCGCAAAGGTATGACCCGATGCAAGTTTTCCAGAATCTGCAACCGGGTTACTTCAAGCTTGATGGGAAAGCACCGCTTGGTGCGAGTATTTAGACAGCGCGCATGAAGCGAGCTGTCAATACTCAATACTTTAGGGTTCTGCGGCGTTTGCATTTGTCTGGCTGAGGCTATCCCGGTGGCTAACAAGGGTGAGGCTTCCAACGTCGGCGGAAGACCTTCATCCCTTGCAAAAAGAATTGGATGTGCACCTGCCCATGTGCGCTGGATGTTGCGCACGAGCGTAACTCAAACATTCAACTTCGACTGTGTACGGGAATCTGATCTGAAGGTCAACTGAAAGTTTCGTGGAGAACTTGCGGACAGGCCCGCCCGTCTGCAGACTGTGCCGCATGGCATGCACGATCAATCAATACCTGCATCTAATGTTCAGCATTCAGCCGGCATGATAATAGGTTTTGACTCGATGATGCAAGAACGAATGTATTGTGTATGTGGACCATGTTGTCTAAGTGAGTGTTGAACGCTTCTCTTCGAAGTGCGTATACCCGAGCGTCTCTTAGTTACCCTATCCCCTGCTGACTCCACAGCACCATTTCGCAAGCCCTCTTGATCTTAGCTAGAACCGCGTTTCCCATAGCAGATGGTCTTAAGCAGCTTCGTCGATAGTGATGACACCATCGTTGTTCGTGTCGTGCCTTTGTCAAGTCAACGTCACATCCAATAGCCATAAGAAGGATTCTAGCACTTACTCGTTAAACCACTTGACCCATACCTCACTATCTCCCTCCACCGCCATATACTTCAGATAGCGGTCCAGAGTGATACTGCCCGCACCCTCTGTATCAGCTTCCATGAAAGCTGTCGTGGTGGCGTCCGAACGGTCCTCCAGTTCGAGTGGAACGTCCCGTTTCGAGTGGCGACAGCCGCCTTTGCAGGCGCAGCAGAATATGTTGCATTTGCCGTATCCGCAGCATGGTGTACCTCCAGTTCTATCAGCACATCCACCGCCTTGGCTGGCGTTACAGCACGCGGCGGAGGCCAAAGGAAGAAGAGCGGCGAGGCATGCGATCCAGGACAATGACAACATCGTAACTTGGGAGTTATAGTTTGTGAATAGAGTAACGTAGGTGTAATAACGATGCTTTTAGTGTGCAGAGTGATTTTGTTCTTTGTGGTGGAAACCAAGCTCAACGGCGAACGAAGAGCTTTATGTATCTTCCAGAGTTGGGATCGCCGTGATGTTAGTATCCTGCAGCGATAAGTCAGATACCTAGGTAGCCCCACACAACACCTTTTTGTTCAAAGTAGATTGTGTTTAATTTGTTGCTTTGCAGCGACAACTTTGAACAGTCGGCACGGTGGTACTTCATTTGGAGTAAATTGTGTTTACTTCATGACTTTGCAGCAATGACCTTAGCCGTCAGCACGATAGTACTTCATCTGCAGTCTTCCGTTGGTACATGTAAATAGTTTCAGACCTCGTTTGAATAGTAGTACACACAGGAGTAGCACAGTGAGCTATCTGAATAGGATGGCGGTGTTACAGGTAGCTTCGTTTAACGCAACATGATCATCGTGTGGCAGCACTAGACGTCCACGGGTATTCTGAATCCATCGAGTTTGTGTTACAAACAGCGGCATACATATATATGAGGACATGTACCTATGAGGCGCAGCCCCCGTAGCCTGCTCGCGATTGGGTGGGTTGGATAATTGTGGGGCTTGGGGGCAGCACTAGACGTTCATCTCGAAGTCTGCTTGCATACCTGGGTATTAGCCTACGATGCGGACCATATGCCTACTGATTGTGCTTGAATTCAACATCCGCGGAACGTCAACTCCAAACGATTCTTCCCGTTGATGGAAAAGAAGTACTGCATTACCACACTCATGTCGTAGA